ATGCGAGTATAGCGATGAAATTCGACAGAAATAAGTTTCACATGAGCCAAATTCTCTATACCAAATTTTTGGAGGATCAGTTTCTTACAAACCAAAATCTCTCTACCGAATTTTATAATTGTCCCCGATTGACCGCCCATATATGTTCATGATTTCAAAGTTGGACAAAAATATTTTGTGTGAATATTTTGTTAATCCGATAGGGATGTGTCCATAATTGTCAAATATCAACCTAATGTTTATAGGGGAGCATTCCGTTTACGCCATACGGTTTGATGGTGGATATATAAGATTCGGCATAGTCGAATATAACATTCTAACTTGTTTTCTTTTTTAATTTTCTTTATATTCCTAAAACGTAGGGCAATTTAAATGTCACTTTCCCAACTTTACTGCAGGTGACTTACATATTGAAATTTAATTTTGTTTATGTAAAGTGTAAATAACAATAAACAATTTAGCTTTGTATATTAAACAATTTCAAACAAAGTATTTGAAGAGGTTATTGTTTTTTATATTTACATTAAAATGGAACATTTAAATACAAGTAAGGCAATTTTCTGGTCCTTTTGAAATAATAAAAATTTGGGGAAAATAGGCAAAAGAACAACTTTTTGTATTGTTTATACTTATAGAACTCTCGTACATAATTTTTTTCATTTATTTATAGAACAAAAAGTTTATTAACATTAAAATGTTTTTTTCCTTTTTGTTTTTTTCTATAATATATTTATTTGTTAAACAAATACATTATTTTATTTATTTAAAAATTTTTTTACATAAACAAGACCCTGACACTAATTGTTTGTTTTTTGGGTAAAGTGATTATTTCACTTAAAAAAAATACATATATTTGTAATTTTACACTTCATGTTAATAAAAATGTATTTGTCATTTATTTAATTTTTAAAAGTTTTTTTTTTAACAATTTAAAAATAGCTAAGAAAATAAACAATTTAAGAATTACTGAGGTTTGGCCAATTCTTAAGAAACAACCAAAATTTTCTTAGTTTTTAGTAATTAATAATTGTTAATACATATTTATAGTAAATATTGAGAAAATAAAATTACTAAAACTTAATGGGAAAATCAATTGAAAAAAATTTTAGAAAAAAATTATTTTGTAAAATGGTTTTCAAAAACTTATCAGTTATAATTTTCTTAATGTATTTTCAGATTTTTGTTTAATTTTTTTGTTTTTTTTTTTTTTTGAAAACTAAAATTTTTAGTAATAATTTGTTTATTTACTTGTACTGAAATTTCTCAAATTTTGGCAAACGTTTTGGTAGACTCTGTTCTTCTTTTTTAAATATTTTGAAAATAAATATTTTGTTTGTTTTTCTTTGCAGTCATTTTCTTATGTAAATGGCGACGATGAAACTAAAAACAATTGCAAAATATAATTTTAACAAAAAATAATATTATTAAGAATATTAGTTGTGAAATTTTCAAAATTAAAGAAACTTTTAGCTGATTTAGTCTTGATCCCCTAAATGGTTGTAGACCTATACAAATATTATATCAATTTCCTATAAAACATTGTTGCATATTTTGTCAAAAAAAAACTTTTGTTTATAAAAATATTTTTTAATGTCTCATTATTATTATTTTTTTCTTTAACACTTGACTACACTTTATTTGGCTTTTTCATAATTATTTGTTTTTCTTAAATATTTTTCGCTTTTCTTTATCCATTATAAAGATATTTGAAATATTTTTTTTTTTTTTGCTTTAGACTGTCTAGCTTGTCAGTATAAATACTGTATAATTTTTTCAGAAATTATTTTTTTTTTAAATAATAAATATATTTGTTAAAATTTTAAGCTTAAAAATATACATATTTATTTTTTTTGGCAATTTTTATTTACTTGTACTGTGATTTTATCATCAATTTAATCATCATTTATTTTTATTTGAAAAAAAAAACTTTTTTTTCTCATGATAAAATTTTAAACTTTTTCATTTAGAAAAAAATTAAAAACCAAAAAATTTTTAAATTAAAATATCATGATCATGCCAGAGTTGACATATTTATTGTTGAAAATTTATTTTTAATATAGTTTTTCTCTCTTTAAAAACTACAATTTTATAGACAAATTTATGGAATTGTTGATATGAAAAAGCACTTTAGTATTAAAATGTACAACAGTAAATATTGTGAAACAATTTAATAAAAATTTTATTTTCATTTTAAGTGGCTTGAAATGCAAATAAATGGATATATATTTGTTGTAAAAATTGTTTTAATTTTTATTTATTTTTTTTTTGTAGTGCATTAATTAACGATTGGCAATTAAATTAATGAATATTAATATGATTTATAGGCTTATTGTGACAAATTTAAACGAATTAATTTATATTGAACATTTTAAAATTGTTGTTTAACGTAGATGGCAAATGTAATATATTTGGTTTTCATGAAATTATAACTTTCAACATTGCAACAATTCGTTGTCGAAATCTAAATTTTATACACATCTGTTGTCTAAATGTTAACAAACGTGGTAGGCTCACTATTGTCAAACAATCCGTTGCGGATGTGTATAAAATTTTGATTTCGACAACGAATTGACAACGTTGCGTTGTCAACATTACATAGTGTTGTCGTACGTATGTATATACTTTGACAACGGATGTTATTGAAAAATTATAAACTCTTTGGTGTTAATTTGATACCAGGCGTGTATATTTCCTTTTCCCTCTGTGTAGCTCCACCCCCGGGGCATGTTTCTTCGATGATATATCCCATCATGTGTATTGCAATACAAAAACCTCTAGTCCGCCGGGGCTATAAACTGCTGATGAGCAAATATGTCATTGGCCTTTCCTTGGAATGATTTGACATGAGGTCGAACCAGAGTACCAGAGAATCTGGTACTACGGGTGGCCAGTTGCCCGCAGGATATTGTTCTGGCTGGTCAGTTGGTTGAGGTTCTTTCGGGATGCAAGTAGTGGCTGTGGTTTATAACCAAATTCGCGGTGAAAGTATGTTGGTTTAAGGACTGATACATCCAAATCCCATATAAATATGACTGGATACTCTTTATGGTGCTGTTGCCATATCAAGAGATGTGACAGAGCAACTTATACCGTATTCCGGAACCCGTTAAGTATCTCTTGCTCTTCGCGTAGTAAGGCGCCAGTATAGGTTGTTGAATTTTCAGGTTGATATTCGGTAGTTGCCTGTTATTCCGTAGATCGTTATTTATGATCTGAGAATGGAACTGATGTTAGTTGGTGAACGATCGGGAAAGACTAGTACTGATCTAGTAGATCTTTTTCGTTACCCCTATTTTCTGATTCGACCGGCACTTCTCCGCCTTTCGGGGTAGTATTGTTGCTACCTGTCATACCGCAACGTGATTACTTGGCAAGAGGTTAGATAGCTCGAGTAATTCAGCAAAGTGCTTGTGTATGGACTAGCAAAGCCATGAGTGTTATTCATCGAAGTCACTTGGGGTCGCGTGGTAGACCATTCCTAAGTCTACCCAGTATATGAAAAAGGTGTTCACATTAAGGACTTAGACATTCTTGTCCATTTGTAGGTATCATTTGACTTCACAGCCATTCTTTGGAATCATTTTACTCGAGGTCGATCCAAAGAACCTATCTTATCTGACATCACGGGTTCTATCAGTACCTCTAGTCTATCAGGACTATAAACTAGTTATATCATTTGACACCTTGGCCAATCCTTGGAATCATTTGACTCGGGGTAGAACCAGAGAATGTATTTTATCTGACATCACGGGAACCGGTGGCCCGCAGAGTAGATTTTCAAACTTTGATTCTAGAGGAAAGGTCCTTTCTTGGCGCACGCGGTGACTAAAAACGCGCAAATACTTATAATGTAAGTTTAGAGATTGATTCACTATGAAATATTTTATTTCGGGATAAGTAGGTTGCTGTTGCCGAAAATGGCCTCTCAGAAGAGGGACTGTGGGACAAAATATTGGGAATGAGTTAATTTTAAATGTATGAGACACAGGAAGAATCAGGTATATACTTGTATGAATGTGAAGAGTATTCTCTGTTGAATGTGCCGGATGAATGAGAAGTGTTGTTCTGGTTTGGCTCTGTTCATATCTAACTTACCGCAGTGTGTTCTTGTGAGTAAGACCTTGTCTGTGGCATATTTTTGGATTCATATCATATATCGATATTAATGAAAATATCAGGTGGAATTTTTGATAAGGATCTTTAATGGGCCAGTTACAGTATTTAAAAAAAGTAATTGATTTCCTGCATGAGGATTTATATGGTTGTAGGTTTAGATAGGGCCGTTGTTACCGACACAATACAGCCAAATATCTGCATATATAAAACACATGCAATAATTGTGGAAAATTGCTCTATTTGTGAGAACCATGTCATGCTTTCAACGGAAAGACAGACAGACAGACGGACAGGCAGAGAGACGGACGTTCATGGCAAGATTATTATAGCAATTAATAAGAAATGATAGAAGCGAGTTAAACCAAAAAAATATTTATAGATTTTTAGTAACATGAATTATACAAAATATGTAAATCAAACTGACATTAACATCTAATTAAAAGAATCAATAAAAAATTGTTACAAGGACAATATTAAAAATTATTAAACATAATTTTTTTCAATAAAAACTTAAAATATTAAACATAAAAGAAAATTAACAACAAGACAAAAAATCATAAAATTTTATTTTAAACTAAAATAATATTTAGAAAAAAAAAAAATCAAACAAAACATATTTCCAATTAAAATAAATGAATGAAATGTATGTTAGCGGGTCAATTTTCAAACCGACCTCCATAAAAATCGAAAATAAAGAAAGTGGTGCATGTATTTTAAGAATAAATTTTAACGAAAAAATATAATAAAACTAATTAATAAATTGAAATTTTAACACAGCTGGAGTATTTAGACAACAAAAAGTTATAAAATAAACAAAAAAGCTCAAACAACTTTTTAAGTAAAAACCAAAACTATTAAAACAAAAAACTATACCAAAATAAAAATAAAATTTGGAACAAATGTGTGTATTGTTTTATAATTTGTCTATATAAAAATAAACATTATTTTGTATACATAAATATTTGCTGGGTTAAGTATTAAAAGAAAAGAGAAAGAAAATTAATTGCAAATATTAAAGGCGTTGACAACTGAACCGTACGAATACATGACGCTGTACGCATGTTTTCCCCGCAATAAGAAGTGACTGACCTTTAACAAGGATGTAAACTAAATTATGATAAATGAGCAGCGTATTATCGATATAAGATTAATACCGCAAAATTATTTGTTTATGCAAATACTAAAATCGCCAGGCAAAAATAAAATAACAATGACCTTGTTTATACAGTTCAATAGAACAAACAAATGTTGAAAATAACCAAATTATATATTTAAAACAATAAAAAATACATGAGCAAAAAAAAGCAAATAAAAATCCAGGTGGCAGTTTTTTTTCGAATACCACTTCATTAAGTTTTTAAGTGTGAAAAACATTTGACAAATGTTCATGTATGATATGCATGTCTTGACATACAGCGGCAAGCAATTAGTGTCGGCAAAAAGACCTTAAACTTCAAATGAACTTTTTCGTCTAAATTTGGAGGACAATAATAATAAAAATCTTCATTGACATGATGAAGCATGAAACCATAACAAAACCCCTGCCCATAACTGCAGCTAAAGATAATACCAAAAAGGGTTTATGGAAGTCAAGAGGCACTTCCGAGGGACCCACACCCAAAAGTCCCATTACCAAAGCTTTTGATTTTCTACCCTGGTCACGCAGCAAGAAAACAGCCAGCGAGAAAACTACAAAAGCTAAAAATGATTCATCATCAACTGCTGCTGCTACTAATAGCAGCACGACTGCTGTAACTGCCGTTAATGCTAATCCATCGGATGATAAAAAAGATGCCTTGGCCTCTTTAAACTATCAGCGCAATATCTTTCGTAATGGCGGTGGCATAATACGTGATATTTTAAATGATAAAATAAACAGAGATGAAAGAACCTATAAAAAATCCAACATACGTAGAGCACGCCAAGTGACGGGACGTAATAAAAGTCTAGATATCAATGAACTCATCAATTGTGTAGAGCAGGAACTTGCCAGCACTTCAGGTGATGGCAGACATAATGTTGAAGGCAAAAGTCATCGTTTTCTTGACGACACCTTTATTGAGAATATAATGAGAGCAAAAGAGGCCTATCAGCGTAATTTACAGCAAGAAGAGTATGACGAAGAGGAGGAGGAGGATGAGCAAGCCTACTACAACAATCATCACGCCCATCACCGTCCCGTGGTGGAATGTAATGATACAGAAGATGAATATTTCTATCAGCAACAACAAGAACTGGCCCAACTGTGCAAGCATTCAGATCCTTTAAAAAGTGCCAATGGCACCACCAACCTCAACGGCAGTGGTAGTGCCTCTCCCAAGCATATACTCTTCAATGATGAGAACACGGTGTATCTTATTAAAAAAGAATTGCCAGTCAATAAAACCCTTAAAAACTGTGATAAAGAACGTAAACACTCAGAGAGTGTTTTAAAAGCCCGCCTTAAATTCAAAAAACTTTCAGCCGATAATTCCCTTCCTCATGATTCAAAATCAATGGTTCTAAACAACAACCGCATCATAGCGAACAGTAGACACCAGCCTCCTGTCAACAATAAACGTAGTATATTACAAAGACAAAATACCACACCCGAACAATTTAGTGCCTTAACAAATACCCGCTGTAGTCCAGATGTTTTTCGCAAAAGATCCCCCTCAGCCGGACGCTATCAAGCACCCTCACGTTATTCACCCAGCTACCCGAGACGTAAATCTCTCACCGAAGGTGTGGTATATGATCAAAACACAACTTCGTTATATGATAATGGCAATTCGAGTACGAGCAGTATGGGCAGTGGTGCCAGTACTAATGGTGGTATTTTAAATGATCGTCCTAAAACCGATAAACCGCGTAAAAAATTATCATTTCGCGAACCAGTGGTGGCGGGTAAACGTCCATCGCGTCGCACTAGTGGTGAAGTTGTGAGCGTAACCACGAATGGTTTGAATGTCCAAAAGAGTAATAATAATAATAATAGTGTTAATAGTAATTCCAACTGTGATAATGTAGTAGTAGCTAGTAGGCGTTCAACGCCAACAAATGATTCCATGCCAACGGAAGAAATGGAAAAGGTAAGAAATGGAAAAGGACGCGAAGTGGATTTTTAAAAGATAATTCTTATGAATTTCTAACTAAAAGTCTATAAAGCATAATAAGCGTTCTGTTTCAAATTAACATAAGTTTTTAGAAATAAATTGTTAATGCCGCCTCTAATGCAATAGCCTAGAGTTCCGCCTAAAGTCCAGTCTATATCCTAGTATATAGTTCAGACTATAATCCAGTCTATGGACTAATCTTTAGCTCGGACTATAGTCCAGTCTATAGAGTAGTCTATAGCTCAGACTATGATCAGTCCATAGACAGTTCAGAGTAAAGTCCAGTCTATAGACTAGTATACAGTTTAGACTATTATTATAATCCAACTTATAGACTAGTCTACAGTTCAGACTAAAGTCCAGTCTATAGATTAGTCTATATCCATACTTATAGATTAGTCTACAGTTCAGACTAAAGTCCAGTCTATAGACTAGTCTAGTCAGATTTTAATCCAAGTCTATAGTTCAGACTATTATCCAGTCTATAGACTAGTCTACAGTTTAGACTATAATACATTCTATAGACTAGTCTATAGTTCAGATTATAATCCAACTAATAGATTAGTCTACAGTTCAGACTAAAGTCCAGTCTATAGACTAGTCTACAGTTCAGACTAAAGCCCAGTCTATAGACTAGTCTACAGTTCAGACTAAAGTCCTGTCTATAGACTAGTCTACAGTTCAGACTAAAATCTAGTCTATAGTTCAGACTATAATCCAATCTATAGACTGGTCTACAGTTTAGACTATAATACGTTCTATAGACTAGTCTATAGTTCAGATTATAATCCAACTTATAGACTAGTCTGTAGTTCCGACTAAAGCCCAGTCTATAGAATAGTCTATAGTTCAGACTATAATCCAGCCTATAGACTAGTCTACAGTTCTGACTATAGTTAGACTAGTCTGTAGTTCCGACTAATGTCCAGTCTATAGACTCCAACTTATAGACTAGTCTACAGTTCAGACTAAAGTCTAGTCTACAGTTTAGATTATAATACATTCTATAGACTAGTCTATAGTTCAGATTATAATAGAACTTATAAACTAGTATACAATTCAGACTAAAGTCCAGTCTTCAGACCATAGACTAGTCTATAGTTCGGACTAAGGTCCAGTCTATAGTTGTGACTATCACAGATCATAGATCAGTCTATAGACTATAGTCCAGTCTAAAGACTACTCTATATTTCAGACTATAGTTCAGTCTATAGACTAGTCTATAGTTCAGACTAAGGTGCAGTCTAAAGTCCAGACTATAATCCAGTCTATAATTCAGTCTATAGAGTAGTCTAAACTAGTTTATAGTCAAGTTTATATTATAGACTATAGTCCAGTCTATAGTCCGGTATATAAAATAGTCTATAATACTGTCTATAGAGTAGTTTATAGTCCAGTCTTTATACTAGTTTAAAGTTCAGGTCTATAGTTCAGACTATAATCAATAGGGTATATTTAAGAATATAATCAGACTGATTACTGGAAGTTTTGCCGCAATTTTTTTTTTTATTTTTTCAAAAATACCAGATAACATATCATATTAATAACTTCTGGAATATTTCTATCGAGGTGTCATTTATTTCACCCTTTATAGTTAATAATTTGTATCTTAAATATGATTTTTTTAATTCTTATTAAATTCCTTTAAATTTTATTATATTTACAGTCTCAGGCAATGCGTATTGTACGCACAGTGGGTCAGGCTTTTGAAGTATGTCACAAATTTAATATACATAAAAATTCCCTGGACAACAATGATGAACGTTCCGATATCTCATCATCAGAATTATTAGATGTTGAAACCCGTTCGGATCAACAATTAAGTGACGATGATGGACACAATAAAAAAGGTAAGTGAATCATTAAGAGAATTATTCTTTTTTTTTCATAACATAAATATATTAAAAATATAAAACAGATACTCTTAATAAATTTTGTGGTAAATTAATTACGGAATGTAAATAAATATATTTAATTGTTTATGGGCTGATGGAGTAGATCCATAAATATTGGTCAATGTTTGGTTATGTTAAAAAATATATTTTTTTAATTATTATTTTTTTTTTACAAATTTTAATTTAAAACTGGTAATTTTTAATGAAATACTGCGTTGTATTTGTTTAATAAATTTAAATTGTTATTTATTTAAAAAATTATATGACGCTAAAATGTTGAGTTTATTTTTTTTATCCTGTGTTTTTTAATCGTTTGTTTTGTTCATATCATAAAATTATATTCCCTGAGTAGCATTTTGTGGCTTTTATTGAATTTTTTGTGGATATCATAAATGTTAAAGATTAAAAAATGTTATTACAGTTAACAGTACAACACCTTAAAAAATTAAAAAAATATATATAGCAAAGGTGAATTTTGTTGTACCCTGCGGTATCTACTTTTATTACAGTTTCACGATTTATCAATCAATTGCAAATCAGATAGATGCTATACTCCTAGCAAAATTGACTTGTACTAACACAGCCACTTACTTATCAACGACTACTACATACCATTTGCATTACTTTTAAGTACTCTTATAATATCTTTCACATTACCATTCACATATGTACTTTATTTTGTAACTAAGCAGTTGTGTTGTCAGTAAGACAGCGAACTAACGAACAAGAGACCCAAGTTCGCATTATATGTGAAAAAAACCTACTTTTCAATGACTACTACATATCGTCTGGTTTACATAGAAGTAGTCTAATAAGGTCTTACACATAATGTGTTATATAAATACTTTCTAATTCATTAGTCATCTTGCCAGTGAAGATATAGAAACTGCATAGGTTTTTCCATGCAATTTACAATGACTACTTTTTCTAATTACTTTTAATCGTTCGTGATAAGTAATTGCCTCCAATGACATCACCGTGTTAAAATAATGACTTAAAATGCTATTGTGTAAGTAAATTTAAGCATTTTCACCTCTTACATGGTAATGAAAGTTTTTACTGGGTTCTTAAATTGCATTATTCTCTTAGAAAGCACTTATCTGTTGGTATATTATGATGTAAGCTAACGATAGTAAGCAATTTGAAGGAACATATCACTATATTTAAGGCGTCATGGTGAACTTGCTACTCATTGATTTATTCATTCAAGAAGTTGCTCTGATCTCTGTGATTAGATTTCAGATAATATTGACTACTGCACAGCCAAACCATGTTTTGTTTGACACTTCTCCATGCTGACCCAGTAAATAACAATAAAAATTTTATACACATCCGCTGTCTAAAAGTTAACAAACGTGGTAAGCTCACAATCCATTGTCAATAGTGAGCTTACTATGTTTGTTACCTTTTGTGTATAAAATTTATATTGCGACAACGAATTGTTGCAGTGTTGACAACGTTGCGTTGTCAACATTGCATAGTGTTGTCGTACGTATGTATATACTTGACAACGGATGTTATTGAAACATTTGGTGTCAATTTGGTACCAGACGTGTATATTTATTTTACCCTCTGTGTCAGAAACGAATTTCTGAAACGATTTATACTGCAGCTGTTAAGAAGAAGAGGAAAAATAAGATGTCACTTACTTTCTTTGTAACTGATTGGTCAGATCAGGCTGCCTGAGGAATTGCAAAGATGTCGCCGACATCTATATTTTCCGCCAGCTCATAATTGTAGTTGTTATTGTCCCTTAGCATTTAGGGCTTTATGCCAGAAGATTACATCAACTAAGAAACGTATTATGCTGAAGCAATCAAGATGAAGAGAATGGCGAAAATTACATTTACTTCCTCTGCAACTGATCTGTTCTAGGTTAAAATTAGGTATAACATTGACATTCTGCCCATTAGTGCCATTAGTTTGAATAGGGCTCAGTGTAATTCATCCGAAGTGTACTAAAATGCTAACCATTGGACTCAAATGTATGCCCAGCGAAGTAATACAACCTGCTCGACTTACCTAGATTTAGACATTAGTCGAGTCCACAAACAAGCCAGAATTCATTTAGTACCTTTAATGTTTATTTTTGGTATTGTACAGGTTTAGCTACCTTATAGTTTGTTTTGAAAAATTCATCATTTTAGGGATAAAAACGAGAAAGAGATAATTTTGTGTTCATTTAAAAAAATAAATATTTGACAGTTTATCCATAATAAACTCTATTCAACATTGACTTACATTTTGTTAATTTTTGCATTTAAATAATGACATAAATAACTTTCACTTACATAGTGCACTTCTTGGAAATTTCCCGTGTCTTGAACTGACATCACAACAGGCAGTCAATTTAGCAATATAGAAAAAACTGATATATAGACAACCGGAAACATGTGTCTTTTGATATTGAAAGTGTAGTCGATTTAAATAAAAAAACTGCAAAATTTCAAGTGAACTCTTAATGTGTACCAAATGGAATTGAAAAACTTAACGAGGCACCCCATGGCGTAGGGTGTTTGTTTATAGTAGATGAATATAAAATCAGATTTTAAAATGTAAAATAAGATGATCTCATATTTAACACATTTATTCTAATCATGTGTCTTTATGTGTATGTCATATTCGTATATGACACTTAGACACACAGAGCAAAAATGGCAAAAGTAATGGCCGTCACTAACAGCAAAAATTCAAGAGACAGTCAGACAGATAGACATGAAGACAAGCAAAGAAATTAGAAAATTTACATATGAATTGTTTGTTACTTTATCTACATATACATGTTACTTACGCTCATGTATTCATATACACATATGTTTACGTTTATGTGTAAGATTATGCTTTGTTTGTATTTATTTTTTGGTGTCAGTGTATTTGACAGTTGACAGCATCAAAACACCATTTTATTTATTTTATGACATTTATTAAATGTTTGCTGTAATACTTGCTTCTACTCTGTTTTTCATTCATTTATTTATTTATTCAGCCATTTATTCCCCATAGTCTCATAATCGTAATTTCGTATTAAGTATTTTTTTTTTCGTTTATTTTCCTTGATTTTCAATACAATATGTATTATGATTTTATTTTCGCTCCCCATTCTGCTTTTAACTTATTAGATTTTTGTTAATGAGCACAAAACAATAGCATCAGCAGCAAAAAGTCATCATGCAAGTACTCACGTATTTGTTTTTTATTACTTTGGCAAAATGGTTGTGTCGTAAAATTTTTAAAATTTGTTTTAAAATTGTGCCATTAATTTTGCAATGTTTGTTTTTTCGCGGAACAAACTTTATTTTTTAACCTCCATCAAATGTAATTATGTTGGTTTTTGGACTAATTTACCATGAATGTACAAGTTTAACGAAAATTTGTTTAAATGTATGTAACAATGGGATCTTCGGTTAGTTATAGGCTGAGCTCTACAGAATTTGATACAGGAACTAATTCCGTGGAATATATTATTTATTTGGAATTTTAATCTAATATCGATTTATCGATGACGAAAAATTTTGGTTTTGGAGGCCATATCAGTTTACGTTTTGGAGGTCATATTAGATTTTTCACATAACTGCTGTGTCTTTATTGAGGTATGCCTGGACCCCAAATCTGAAACTTAAACTCGACATCATATCTTCTCTAGCAATATGAAATTTTATGAAAATCAAACCACTTATACATATTTATGTATTATACATTTTACATATTCCCCCACCAGTTGCTACCGGTACGTATAATTGATGTTGGCTAATTATTTAATAAGTATACGTTAATTGTAAATCTCTTTTTAATATCAAGTGCTAATCTTTAAGTTTATAATTTATATAATATAATTTCCCGATCCTATAAAGTGTATATATTCTGAGTCCTTATAGATAGCGGAGTCGATTAATCAACGTCCGTCTGTATGTTTGTTGAAATAAATTTTCTGAAGACCCAAGACATTTGACATGCTTTTGAAGTTTCTTCTTTAAAATCAGTAAAAATGGGCCTATAAATAAGAAAAAATGTGCAAAATCGAAAACAACCTCTGAAAATTTAGTGTTTTGTAGCAAATTGAGATTTTTAGATCAAAAATATTTAATTAACAACAACAACCACACACACACGGTAAATTTAGTTCTTGTATTTACTTGTTTATAAAAACAAAACAGGACAAGAACAACACGTTATAAAGCTGTGTGTTGTTATTGGCTAGAAACATGAAATTAAACATGTACATCGCGGATTAAGTGAGAATGTATAAAAAGGGACTTTTAAGTACTTATCCGTTCTTTAAAAGGTACTATTTCAGTTATTGTATAACATTAAAACTAGAAACATAAATATAAGCATGTAGAGCCTGGAATAAATGAGGACTTTTTGGTACTTTTTCGTTCTTCAAAGGTACTTTTTGAATTTGCTATAATATTGAACCTAGAAAGAAGAAATTAAGTACGTGGGACCCAGTGTAAGTGAAAACCTATAAAATGAACTTTGGTACTTTTTTCGTCTTCAAATGGTATTTTTTGCATTTTCTGTAATATTGAATCAAGAAACATAAAGTACATACATAAGTACGTTGAGTAATAAGAATATATAAAATGGGACTATTTGGTACTTTTTCGTCCGTTAAAAGGTACTTTTTGAATTTTCTATAATATAGAACCTGGAAAGAGAAATTAAGTATGTAAAGCCAGGAGTGAGATCCTATAAAAGGGCAATTTTTGGTACTTTTTGAATTTTCTATAAAATAGAACCTAGAAACTAGAAATTAAATATGTAGAGCACGAAGTAAAAGAGAACCTATAAAAGAGAACTTCTTGGAACTTTTTCGTTCTTCAAAGGTACTTTTTGCAACCTAGAAACTTAAAATTAAGCATGTAGAGTTCGTAGTAAATGAGAAAAGGGAACTTTTTTTTAACATTTTCGTTCTTGCATTTTCTATAATATTGAATCTAGAAACATAAAATTAAAGATATACAGCCCGTAGTAAAAATAAGACCAAACAGTGAAATCTATAAAAGGTACTATTGGTACTATCTCGTTTTACAACTGATATTTTTTTACACTATAGTAAATGGCATATAAGATTCAGCACAGACGAATCTTACTCTTACACAGAGGGAAAAACCGGCAGAAAAGTACCGAAATTTTATCATTTTGACAACCACCATTATAATTTCGACAATGCGTCGTTGTTATTGCAACAACGCATTGTTTTTATTAAAATTACACTTTTTGTCATTTCGGCAATGCATCGTTGTGATTTCGACAACGAATCGTTGTAATTTCGACAACGCAAGATTCAGCACAGACGAATCTTATTCTTACACAGAGGGAAAAACCGGTAGAAAAGTACCGAAATTTTATCATTTTGACAACCACCATTATAATTTCGACAATGCGTCGTTGTTATTGCAACAACGCATTGTTGTTATTAAAATTACACTTTTTGTCATTTCGGCAATGCATCGTTGTGATTTCGACAACGAATCGTTGTAATTTCGACAACGCAAGATTCTGTTTGACAACATAGCGTTGTAACTTTGATAACACATTATTATTTCTTGCTGATTTGATATCTTTTATATTTTTGTTGTTGGTTTAACATCTACGGTACATACTTTGACAACGGATGTTATTGAAAAATTATAAACACTTTGTTGTCAATTTGGTACCACTCGTGTATAATTTCAAAACATATTTTTTCCCTCTGTGTACATGTTTAAACTAAATCTATATCGGGGATTTCATGACAATCTCATTAAGCAACCAAAAGTGTTTTAAAGGAAAAGATCTAGGCTTTCTTTGAAAGACAGTTAAAACAATAATTTTGAAAAATTACGGTCCATAGCTATCTAAACTCTTTGCAACAATAAGTTATATAATAATAAGTTACATAGATGAGAAGAAACACATATTTGGCAAAACATTTTGATCCACTGTAACTTAGAGTGTGTCTAAAGTACTATCCAATAGTTCTATCTTTGCACTATGGTTCAGATGACCACTTTTTTTGACTAAAACTAAAAATGTGGCCAAAAAATATTTTTATGGTATTCTAGATTTATTTTGTTTAAAATTTAAGTGAAATGACAAAAAAAAAACAAAAACAATCTGTAGATATATTTCAAACTTATCGAAAACATAAATTTGAGTTATTAATTAAATAAAACAAAGTATTTAGAAATTACAGTTACTCACATATTTCCCCTACAGTGCGTATGAGTGATGCACACTAATTATTTATTAAGTATACGTTTATTTTAAACTTAAGTACATTTTAATTTTAAGCTAGAAAACCAATAATAATTTAAATATTATATAATTTCATAATGACTAATCTTTTTATGCCATATAATAAATAAAATCCATTAACATTTAACACTATAAAATTCTTTCAAAAACAAATTTTTGTTGATGTTTTGTTTAGATTTTATTACTTGCATCGACAATATTTCCACCATTAAAATGAAATTATACACAAATGGTGAGAAAAATAGAATAACAAAGAAAAAAACGATTACAATATAAAATTAACAAATCAATTGCATTTCTAACAATTAAAAACAAAATTGTATACGAGCTGGAAATTTGAATATTTTCTTAACATTTTTGTTTAAAAATTATAACAAAAAATTGTTAAATAAGCTTTTAGTATTTTTTAAATAAATTAAATAATAATAGTACTTGTACCACATCGATACAACAATAAATAATTTCAATGTTAAGGTTTTAATTTTGAAAAAATCAAATTGTAATTTTAATTTATTAAAGGCTAATCGTCATGATATTATAAATTGTGTGCGTGTGTTTTGTTTAATTTGTTGAAATTTTTTGTAATTATTATGTGTTTATGTTTTAAAATTGTAATCAAGGTTATAATGTTATTACACCTTGTAAGTTTTTGTGTTTTTTTTTTCTCTAAATTTGTATTTTTGTATTAATACTGTTGCTTGTTTTTCTTTTATTATTAGTTTATAATATTAATGTTTTGACTTGAATATTTTTAGCCTGATTTTTGTTAGAAAATAGTTTTATAAACAAATTAAAAAAGTGCTGTTAAGTTGTTTTCATTAAACATTTATTGATTTTTTTTAAATTTATTATTTTGTTTATTTATTTTGTTATTATTGTTGTTTTTCTCTTAGGGCTGTAATGTTATCATTTACACTTTCAATATTTTGTAAGCCTTGACATATTCCTGGTTATATGGTTTCTATCATTTTGTTTAGTATTTTATTTTCCATTAATATTTATTATTTATTTTCTTAACAAGTTGACGTCACTTTTTTGTTGGTGTGTTTTTTTTTAATTGTAATATTTGTTTGTTTTTTATTAATTTTTATTAAAATTTTAATTGTTTAATTTTTATTTTAGTTTCTTTTTTTTAAGTAATAAAAACTATTTTCAAATTTGGTTCAAGGTTAATTTGTATGTGAAAATACATGTTTATTTGAACATTTTTCAAGAGACTGATAACAACAACAATAACATCTAAGAAATGTCATGCATTTGAATTGCAGTAAGTCAGGGACAACATTAAAAAAGAAATAACCTTCACATTAGACAAAATTTCGTTAAAATTTAATTGAAAATAAAATTAGTTCTTTATACATTTTTTTAAACTAAAATATTTGATAAAAATTTATTTTGATATATATAGATGCAGGTTCGATTCACGCAAGAGACCCTCTTGCAAATATCATCGAAGGTTTTCAAACAATCCCCTTATATTCTTAACCTAAGACATCATTAGCTTCAAATTAATTTCAACTCATACCATTTATTTCATTTTCAACACAATATAAATTATACCAATTATTAAAAAAAAATACTGAAAAATAAATTTCATTCTAATACAATTTATTAAATTAATAATTTATAAAACAACGATTAAGCAATACATTTTTTTTTTACAAAAATATTTCAACCAAAAAAGAAAATTGCTTTCATATTTCGAGAACAAGGTAGTTCTTGACGTCATGTTTCTTTGTGGTTTTTCTGTAAAACTTTGAAAAAGAAAATGAAAATATATATTACAGCAACAGCAGCGTAAACACGTAAAAAATAAAAGAATAAAATAAAAAAATATAGAAAAACACAACAGTTTTCAATCAAAGACATCAGCTAACATCGTCACTTTTACAAAAACTATTTGTATTTTTCTGTAAATAGACCCACACAGAGAAATTATTAAAAACAAAATAATGAAAAACATATTTTAACACAAAATTGATAGTTAAACTAGAAATCTATAGAAAAAAACGTTTTTTTTTAATAAATAAGCCATTGGCATTAGTAGACGACAATTTTTATGAAAAAAAACACAAAAAAGAAAATATTCACCAAAAATTATTAAACAAAGCATTTACAAAAAAATATCATTATTATTTCACTCATCATCGTTGTCGTCATTGTCATCATGATCACAGCACGATCAACTACATCATCATTGTTCTTTTAGCATAGTATAATAAATAGACAGACAGACAGACACACGAACGGTTGGTTATTGAAATTAATTTGTTTCTTTCTGGTTTTTTGTTAAAATTTCCATAAAGATTGAAAGAAACATCTGTGTTGAATTAATGTGGGGTACCAATGTTACCAGATTTATTTTTTAAATTAATTTTATTTAAAATAATAATTTTGAATTTAGTTTTTAATGTAAACTTTTTATTTTTTTTAATTGCAGCTCATACACCAGAATTAAATTTACCCCCAAAGGCCTAATCATTTGGAATTAGTGCCTCAAACAAATCTTAGTAAATCGGGAAGTTTTATGGTAAGTTTTTGAAATACTTTTATATACATATATAAACAATACTAGCAATATATTTCATACACCATTCACACCTAAACAAATTTAAAAAGTTTCGAAACCAGAAATAGAAAGTAAACAAGTAAGAAATTATAGTCGGGGCGAAGCCGACCATATAACACCCTACACTTATGGAATGTGATTTAGTTTTCATAATAAAGCATTTAAATTGAATTGTACCTTGCCTCAGATATACTTAAGCCATTTATTGTTGTATAAAATTGTGAACATTTAAGTGAAATTTTGAAGGGGGCTTTGTATAGGGGCTATGATCAAATGAGACTCTATAATTATAAAATTCATGAGGGTCTTCAAGGGTAGTATAGATCTTGGTTTTGCAGCTTTTTGTCGAGATACGAGTAAAACATAAACATAATTATGAACTTAAGAGCCCTATTTGGCGGGTTCAGTTGTATGGAGGCTAGGTGAAATAATGGACCGATATTAACCATTTTTAATAAGCTTTGTTTCCAGTCCCATAGAAGATCATGTGCCAAATTTCATTGAATTATCATCAAAATTGCGACCTGTAGTTTGATTACAGGGTTTCGAGCGTTCAGTTGTATGGGGGCTAGGTGAAATAATGGACCGATCTTAACGATTTTCAATAGGCTTCGTCCCTGTGAAAATAGAAGATCATGTGTCTAATTTCACTAAATTATCTTCAAAATTGCATCCTGTAGATTGATTACAAGGTTTACATGTACGGACGGACGGACAAGTGGACGCACAGACGGACGGACATAGCTAAATCGAAAATGATTCTATGCCGATTGGTATACTTTAAGATGGGTATTATTGTGCGTTACAAACATCAGCACAAACCCAATATGCCGTCCCCACTAAAGTGGTGTAGGGTATAAAAAAAGGGAAGAAAAAGTGTTGAATAAGTATGTTTTTCTAAAAAAAAGGAATGAATATTCTTAAAAAAAGAAAAAATATTTTAGCTTTAGTTTTAAGTGCCTATTTTAGCCGAGCTATTATACAGGCCGGCATATGTTTAACTCAGAATTTTGTTATCTGTGTTACTATGTATTATATTGTATCTCATCTAATATGCCGTTGTGATCTTGATATTCTTTAGCGAGGATAAAATTGAGACTTAAAACATCCCATGCATCGCTGATCTTAACGATAAACTTGCTGAGAAAGTACTTTGAGATCTAATCAAGACATTTTATTACCCTGTATGCCCGATAAATCTCACCAGTGTCATACTGTCCTATTTTGCGAGCAAGTATTCTATAACAAGATCAGCTAATATGTATTCGATGGGATTCCATTCTATTTCTACAAGTGATTTTTCACTTGTCCCATTTTGTTGCTCCAAGTGATTTTATACTTTCGCGTTAACGGGTGATCGTACGTGCTGAGGATCTTGGAATTGTTTTTATACCCACCATCAAAAAATATGGTTTTGTCATACTGTTTGCAACACATCGAAATATTGGTCGAAGACCCACAAAAGTGTATATATATATTGGGTCCTCATTAAATTCTAAGATGTTTTAGCCATGTCCGTTTGTCTGTCTTTCCGTCTGTCGGTTGAAAACACTATAGATTCCGAGCGATATTCTGTATCGTTGCAGTTTGAAAATGGGCGATGTCGGTCTATGTTTTCGTATAGGCAGCTTAAAGGGCCATAACTGGTTTAAAACACTATTTTAGCAATGATATGAACAAGTTTTATATGAACCACATTCTCTCTACCAAATTTTATGAGGATCGGTTCATAATAGACCTTACTCCCCATTTAAGGACCACTCAGAAACTGACTATAACGCTCATAACTTGCTTCAAAATTATAGTAAAGCAACGAAATTTGACATACATATGTTTTAGGAGATCTTGAGTTTCTCTGATAAATATTATTGGGATCGGTCCATAATTGACCCTACCCCCATATAAGGTCCCTTCAGAAAATTACTCTAACGCTCATTATTTGTCAGTATAAGAAATCGACATATACGAGTGTTATAGAAACTCAAATCTCTCCGCTAAATTTTATGCGGATCGGTCCATAATTGACCTTCTAATTCTAGTACTTATATCAACGAAATTGGCGTAAACATGTTTTATAGGAACTAAAAAATCTCTGCTAAATATTACCTCTTATAAGGTCCCTTCAGAAAATTACTAGTATAGCAACGAAATTCGACATAAAAAGTTTTAGGGAAACATAATTCCCTGTCAAATTTTTTGAGGATCGGTCCATAATTTTCCTTAATCCCTATATATGGTCCTCTGTCAAATATTATGAAGATCGGGCCATATTCAATCAAAGCCTTCATATAAGGCTTAGAAAGCATTGATATTCGACATAAAAAGTCTTATTGAAACCAAAATTTTTACAAAATTTTAATAGGATTGGTCTAAAATTTAGCATTACTGTAAATATACATTACTCTATAAATCATTAAAAATATGTATTATGATAAAATAAGTACTACTATGACCCTGACTTTAATAAACTGTTTATAAGCGATAAAAATTTAAATAAATCTAATTGAGCAAATGGTGGGAACAAATCACTATTCATATAGTATGAGGCCAATTTCCGAATTTCACTTGAAATTTATAGCACATGATTTGATGGTGGGTATATAAGATTCGACACGGCCGAATATAGCACTCTTACTTGTTTCTGCTACCTTTCTCATATACCTGATAGCGATTTCGTTAACAGCTTGATATATGACGCACTCTTCCTCATGGCAGTATAATTTTCAAGATTTTTAGCAACCTTATCAGACAGGTCACATGCTTGTCATCTAATTGGGTAGGGGTATTTGAAGTATTTTTGGATTATAATATAGTTCGATATCTATTACTCTTGCTACCTAATAGATAGACCAAAGTATCTTATATAGAAGCTAGTATGTCGCCATTTGATGAGGAACCAATTTAATTTTTTTTATTTTGTTGTTTTTTATTGTTTCCTTATTTTAGTCCCACCAGTAGGCAAATAGGGACTAGACAGGAACCTACAGTCGGCCCTTATCTTATTTTACTAAATAACTGTTCCGGTTCTCGGCACTAATAAATCTTTCACATATGAGATGGTATATACAAAATGATTGGGGAGGTGTTAAAATATTTGTCATAGAGGCTTTTCCATTCAATGTTTCATTTAATATTTTTGAAATTCTACATTAATTAAACATAAACAGTTATGAATAATGAAATAATTTCAATTAACCACACTGAACTTTATACTTTGAAGTCTAAAAATGTGCAAATAATCAAGAGAATGCAAGAAAAAAATACGCACATAGCTATTATTTGATTAGATTTAGATGTTTATTAAGAAATCGCAAAAGAAAATCTAAAAATATATTATGATGGAAATGATAAACAAACACCTGAGCCAAAAAGGTAAAATTACTATAAAAATAATAAATACAAAACGAAAATAGCAGCGACTACCAAAAAAAAAAAATACACAAAATAACTTTTGTTTTGAAAAGAAAACAAAATTTAAATTGTTTTCTTTATCAAAGAAAGGAAAACAATAGAAAATTGTTTGGTTTTTGGTTAGAAAACGAATTAGAGATGAGCTACGAAAGTTAAATACAACAATTTCATATGTGATAACATCTTAAGTTAATTTCCTATAGACCATAGACTAGACTATAGACTAGACCATAGACTAGACTATAGACTAGACTATAGACTACGCTATAGTCTAGACTATAGACTATGCTATAGTCTAGACTATAGTCAAGTCTATAGTCTAGACTATAGACTAGACTATAGACTAGACTATAGACTAGACTATAGACTTGACTATAGACTATAGACTAGACTATAGACTAGACTATAGACTAGACTATAGACTAGACTATAGACTAGACTATAGACTAGACTATAGACTAGACTATAGACTAGACTATAGACTAGACTATAGACTAGACTATAGACTAGACTATAGACTAGACTATAGACTAGAATATAGACTAGACTATAGACTAGACTATAGACTAGACTATAGACTAGACTATAGACTAGACTATAGACTAGACTATAGACTAGACTATAGACTAGACTATAGACTAGATTATAGACTAGACTATAGACTAGACTATAGACTAGACTATAGATTAGGCTATAGACTAGACTATAGACTAGACGAAAGAATGGAGATCAATTTCGTATGTGATAACATCTTAAGTTAATTTCCAATGATTTACTTTACGATAACTTGCTAAAATATTTTGCCTAGATAATTAATTGTTAACATACTTTTAGGTGGCCTTACCTATTTTCTTTTAAGGGATTTAAATTTAATTATTTTGTTTCATATTTCCAAATTCTTTGAATAAATTAATATTTTTTTGATTTTTTTAAAGAACTTTAATTACATTTCTTAACAATTTATTTTGTAAATGTTCTCTAAAGCATACTTTAGGGTGCCTTAAAACATGAAATTGCAAAAAAATGGCAATCATTTTAAATAAAACGCAGAAATAATCATAATTAATTAATATACAATTGAATGTTTGTTTTTTATTAAAAAAAAACTCTTTATTTATAAAGGCGTTGATTAAAAATATATCTATAATATACTAATTGTTAATTGAATTTTAACAACCCAGTCGATAAAAATCTTATATTTATAATTTAAATAACAAAAAATCAACAAAACGATTTATATGTGTATCGCTCGTTTTTCCCCATTTCACCTCTTTAAATGTTCAGCTAAACACAATTTGCACTACTGGCGTCTTGCGGTTTGTTATTATAGATGTTTTTTCTCTATAAAATACGATGACATGTGTTATAATTTATAGAAAACCAAACAAAAAGCTGGAAGAAAACAAAAAAACTAAATATAAAATATGAAATTTTATTATAAATTGAAAACAATTTGGTTTTCATTTCATGTGATTATGATGTGTTAAGAAAATTGTGTTTTAATTAGATTTGTGTGCTTGTATTTGCAAAAAAAAAAAATTATTAATTAATATTCAATTTTTTTACAATCACAAAACAAACAATATCCAAAAATTTGATTAAATGTTTTATTTTAAATCTAAACAGTTTTAAAATTAACAATTTCTGTTGTAAGTTTTAAATAATTCGCGTGGCGCTGTTGATTGATAGAAATACAGAAATTATATAGATTTTTTTAAACTAATAATTTTGCCAATTAATATTAAACAGAAACTATTTTTTTTTTTGGCAAATTTATGCGTTTTTCATAATTAAATTGGTGCAAGGTGGAAAAATTGGAATTTTGTTTAGGAAAATATTTTTTGTATCGAGATCAAGTAAATTATCTTCGAAATATTTATCAAAATTATGGCATAAATTCTTTTTTACAACAAAAATATTTTTTTGTAAAATAAATTCTTAAAACTCATCACTTGAACTTTAATTCCGTGAATAATTTCTTAAAGCTTACTTTATTAAAGCTTAAATTATTTTTGTATTATTTCTGAGTTATGACTGTAGACTGGATTAAAGTTCAGAATATGAACTAGTCTGTTGTCGAAAATATACACAAAACTTTATTTCAAACCAAAGACTAACCATAGACTGGAATATAGACTAGACTATAGACTAGACTATAGACTAGACTATAGACTAGACTATAGACTAGACTATATACTAGACTATAGACTAGACTATATACTAGACTATAGACTAGACTATAACTAGACTATATACTGAACTATCGACTAGACTATATACTAGACTATAGACTAGACTATAGAACTAGACTATAGACTAGACATAGACTAGACTATAGACTAGACTAGACTATAGACGAGACTGACTATAGACTAGACTAGACTAGACTATAGACTAGACTAGACTAGACTATAGACTATAGACTAGACTAGACTATACTAGACTAGACTAGACTAGACTAGACTAGACTATACTAGACTAGACTAGACTAGACTAGACTATAGACTAGACTAGACATAGACTAGACTATAGACTAGACTAGACTAGACTAGACTAGACTAGACTAGACTAGACTAGAACTAGACTAAGACTAGACTATAGACGATGACTATAAGACTAGACTATAGACTAGACTATAGACTAGACTATAGACCTAGACTATAGACCTTAGACTATAGACTAGACTATAGAACTAGACTATAGACTAGACTATAGAACTAGCATAGACTAGACTATAGACTAGACTATAGACTAGACTATAGACTAGACTATAGACTAGACTATAGACTAGACTATAGACTAGACTATAGACTAGACTATAGACTAGACTATAGACTAGACTATAGACTAGACTATAGACTAGACTATAGACTATAGACGCAGTCTATAGACTAGACTATAGACTAGACTATAGACTAGACTATAGATTAGACTATAGACTAGACTATAGATTAGACTATAGACTAGACTATAGACTAGACTATAGACTAGACTATAGACTAGACTATAGACTAGACTATAGACTAGACTATAGACTAGACTATAGACTAGACTATAGACTAGACTATAGACTAGACTATAGACTAGACTATAGACTAGACTATAGTGGCCTCCGGTAGGTTAGTGGTTAGTGTTCTAGACTGGTAGACCGGAGGTGGTGGGTTCGATTCCCACCTGAGGCACTGGTTAAGGAGCGCACAACAGGCCCGATAGTGGGCCTAGGTGTATTTCTTCGGATTTGATGTATATACATCCTCCTTTCAAACTAACTAACTAACTAACTATAGACTAGACTATAGACCAGACTATAGACTAAACTATAGACTAACTATAGGCTAGACTATAGACTAGACTATAGACTAGACTATAGACTAGACTATAGACCAGTCTATAGCTAGACTAGACTATAGACTATAGACTAGACTATAGATAGACTATAGACTAGACTATAGACTAGACTATAGACTAGACTATACTAGACTATAGACTGACTATAGACTAGACTATAGACTAGTCTATAGCTATAGTCTATAGTCTCGTCTAAGTCTTCTATAGTCTAGTCTATAGTCTAGTCTATAGTCTAGTCTATAGTCTAATTAAGTCTAGTCTATAGTCTAGTCTATAGTCTAGTCTAGTCCTATAGTCTATAGTCTAGTCTATAGTCTAGTCCTATAGTCTAGTCTATAGTCTAGTTAGTCTAGTCTATAGTCTATAGTCTGGTCTATAGTCTAGTCTATAGTTAGTTAGTTAGTTAGTTTGAAAGGAGGATGTATATACATCAAATCCGAAGAAAACACCTAGGCCACTATCGGGCCTGTTGTGCGCTCCTTAACCAGTGCCTCAGGTGGGAATCGAACCCACCACCTCCGGTCTACCAGTCTAGAACACTAACCACTAACCTACCGGAGGCCACTATAGTCTAGTCTATAGTCTAGTCTATAGTCTAGTCTATAGTCTAGTCTATAGTCTAGTCTATAGTCTAGTCTATAGTCTAGTCTATAGTCTAGTCTATAGTCTAGTCTATAGTCTAGTCTATAGTCTAGTCTATAGTCTAGTCTATAGTCTAATCTATAGTCTAGTCTATAGTCTAATCTATAGTCTAGTCTATAGTCTAGTCTATAGTCTAGTCTATAGACTGGTCTATAGTCTAGTCTATAGTCTAGTCTATAGTCTAGTCTATAGTCTAGTCTATAGTCTAGTCTATAGTCTAGTCTATAGTCTAGTCTATAGTCTAGTCTATAGTCTAGTCTATAGTCTAGTCTATAGTCTAGTCTATAGTCTAGTCTATAGTCTAGTCTATAGTCTAGTCTATAGTCTAGTCATAGTCTAGTCTATAGTCTAGTCTATAGTCTAGTCTATAGTCTAGTCTATAGTCTAGTCTATAGTCTAGTCTATAGTCTAGTCTAGTCTAGTCTAGTCTAGTCTAGTCTATATCTAGTCTATAGTCTAGTCTAGTCTATAGTCTAGTCAGTCTAGTCTATAGTCTAGTCTATCTAGTCTAGCTATAGTCTAGTCTAGTCTAGTCTAGTCTATCTAGTCTAGTCTAG